AACGAAACCCCATGTACACCATCCATCAGTCTGACAGCATCAATAGCGTGAATCAACACCACAGAGAAAGGCCAAAACTCAACAAAGACCGCCGCAAGTCGGAACAAATCTACAGATTAGTGGACTAGGATTACAACACAGGTCCTACGCATGAGGTTCCTACCCATAACCATTCACACTCAAGTAGTCCATTCAGAGTCTCCATTCAAGTACTGGATAGCTTCACTGTCCGAAATAGCTGCCTGCCCGCAAGGCCGTGGCTGTTAACATGTCATTCAGGACAGGCAGAAACATATTCCTACCTGCTAGCTGTCTAATACTAAATATCATCACTTATTGTATTTATTTTGACAATCGGTGTAGATATACTGTTCAAAAAGAAATTTATTGTTAAAAAAGAAATTCATGGCCATTTGCAACTGAAGTTCTTTCCTTGTCATTTCCTTCCTTGAATAATTTTTTAATTTGAAGTTTACACGATATACGGCTTTTCCATAGGCAAGAGATCGGTCACATGATGGCCATTTTCACGTCTTGTAGTAGTACTTGATGTAAATGTATTACGACACCTGTCATTGTGACTGACTTACTGGGGGAGTTCTCATCAGACATTTCTCATCTTATGAGGATATTATTTGAATACGTTTGTTGTAAAGAAACTACAAAAATTGTTCCTGTGGAGCATGTTGATCATACATATGTTCACGTCACCTCTCGTTTTGAGGAACTATTTTATTCCGCGATACAGCTGGTTGTTGTATGGCTGTCAGTGTAAACATAAAGTCACACGTACTAAATATTGCGTATAGATCTAGATCCTTTGAGGTAAAAAATAGTGATACAAAAAATTATGATTATCAGCTCCTGTGTTCACAAACTTTAAAAGAGTGAGAATAACTGCTTCTAGTCAGGAAGCCAACTATTGAAGAAGACAATTGATCATTTGTTTGTATCCGACTGTATAGCATGTATTTACATTAATGTGGGTGTAACTTTCAAGAAGGGCTAGTTACATATATAGGAGTCACTAGCCTGTCTGGCTTATTCGGAGTAAGAATTATTTAAGCAGGTTTGACCAATCACTGAGCACTGGACTGATTGAGTGAGTGAGTATGGTTTTACGCCGCTTTTAGCAATATTCCAGCAATATCACGGCGGGGGACACCAGAAATGGGCTTCACACATTGTACCCATGTCGGGAATCGAACCCGGGTCTTCGGCATGACGAGCGAATGCTTTAACCACTAGGCTACCCGACCGCCCCTGGACTGAATGAGTCTTTATGGCTGATTGGACGGAAGACATGAACTGCTGGGCGAAAGAAAGTACACACCTGAAAATATGACGACCAAAATATTACAAATGTTATCATATTGGTATTAGGCTGAAAACAGTAGCCAAAACACAACAAACTTGAGGTCCAAAACACAACTATGACACCCGTATCAAATACATCACCATCAAATAACCATTTCCTGTTTGTTTCATTTTTAGCTACCATCAAACATGGGTGTCTACTTTCTGTTGCTGTTTAGAGGGCTCATGAATTTCATTATTCTTTCAATGAAATGTTTGGTACACAAGGTAGTCAGCATCTGTACCAAAATATTGAAAGATAAAAGAAGTTGAAATTCCTATGTTAACTAGGCATTCATTGAAACAACAGCCTCTAAAATGACATTCGAAGATGCTGAAGTTTACTGTTCACTGAATTCCATAGAGACCACAAAAACCTTTTCATTTTCTATCTATTTTCTATTTCGACTCACACAGACATCCTTGGAAAAGAAATATATTATTGCTTTCATGTGTATCTTCCTCTTGAGTGAGTGAGTGAGTGAGTGATGTTTATTGCCACTCTAAGCTGTATTTCATCTTCCCGCCAACACAACAGGCCCAGGCAGAAATTGTTCTTACCTGAACATGGAGGGCTCATAAACAATCAAGTTTGATAAATAGAAGATAGATATCATTATTGAACAAAAACACTGACATAAAGTTATTGCATAGTCAAAAAACCTATCTATCCTAACTTGCAAAAAACAATATTGGTTTGTAGGAACACCAATCAATATTTCAAAATCTCCAAGCAAACACACAGCCATGACACATACACACATGCACACATTTACACATTGTACTCAAACACACAGCCATGACACATTTACACATTGTACTCAAACACATCCATGACACATGCAGACATTTACACATTGTACCCAAACACACTGCCATGACACATGCACACATTTACACATTGTACTCAAACACATCCATGAAACATGCACACATTTACACATTGTACTCAAACACAGCCATGACACATACACACATGCAGACATTGTACCCAAACACACTGCCATGACACATACACACATTTACACATTGTACCCAAACACACTGCCATGACACATGCACACATTTACACATTGTACTCAAACACATCCATGACACATACACACATGGCACTCAAACACATCCATGACACATGCACACATTTACACATTGTACTCAAACACACAGCCATGACACATTTACACATTGTACTCAAACACAGCCATGACACATTCACACATTTACACATTGTACTCAAACACATCCATGACACATGCACACATTTACACATTGTACTCAAACACATCCATGACACATGCACACATTTACACATTGTACTCAAACACATCCATGACACATGCACACATTGTACTCAAACACAGCCATGACACATACACACATTTACACATTGTACTCAAACACAGCCATGACACATTTACACATTGTACTCAAACACAGAGCCATGACACACACACACATTTACACATTGTACTCAAACACAATAAAACATCATGATAAGTTTATTAACTTCCAGCTTGAACACAGTGACATTCATCACATCCACTGGAAGCATTCACTGATAACTGTACAGCCTTTGAATCCTCCAACACAGGGAGGAAATTACAAGCTGGCCTTTCTTATAGGCCCTGGAGTCGGTTGTTGAGCCAGTAATCTCCTTACAAAGACCTACAACTCTCACTATGATGTACGACAGTCCTTTATACAGCGGTATAACAATGGCTAGGTATATTAGATCTGCTCCTGTGGATACCTATGTGATGACCATGTCGTGTGGTACGGACATTCATAAGCAGTGAATGTCATGTTGAAATGCTTGTATATTTCTACATATTGTGGGTAGTGAAGTGAGTTAGGGACCAACCAATTGATATTTCACCTACAGTTGCAAAACCAGATACTATTTTAATTAAAACACATCTTGCAACAGTGTATATATTGTGGTAGACAATTTCATTTTTTAAAGTCTGAAGCATACCGTATCCAACGTAATAAGCGCCCTGCTCTAATAAGCGCCCATGGCGATATTTGCTAATATATTGGCTTGTGAACAATCCCAATTCCTTCCGATTGGTCAATGTACACAATACTTTTTTATTCGTGTATAATACGCACTCTTGTGTTATATGCACCCTTAATTATGGGCAATTAAATTCTGGAAAAATATATCTTTTGTATCATTTCAGGCTATCAGCATAAACCATGAAATTTGCTATCTTTCAACTCTTTAACCAAAATTTTATTCTAATAAGAGCCCCCTATTTATAATTTTGAAAGCGCCCTGGGTTTTTTAACCAGCCATTATGGTTCCAGATATCAAACTGGCAGCTATGCATCCTCCCATTACACATTTGTGTAGGGCATGTATTGCACGAAGACCAGCATGAACATCGCTCACGGTGCGGTATTCAAGATTCCAGTTGAACGTCATTCGTTTTCAAGATCTGCACTTTGAACCTATCCACAACACACACACACATCATCTGCACAAGGCCTTGGATATATTCAACAGGGCGATGGACCTAATACAGACAACCTCTTGATAAACTTAGAGTTCCCTGAGACTCTCAATAAAGCAGTGGGTCAGGCAGATATAGGAAAAAAAGCAGATTTGTCCTTTTGTAGAGTATTTTAAGTTGTAGCAGGATCACGAGGGGTGTTTCATGTGTCCCGCTGTTAAGTATAAAACCTCATGAGGGACGAATAAAACCCCATGTATCCAGCAACAATGAATTTATCTTGCATACATGTTTTAATATGACATTGTAAAAGAATTAAAACAAATTCAAAATTGATAGGAAACAGCTGGTTGATTGAGCTGAGGTTAACTTGTGATATGCCATGGGAACTTTCATTGACTTGGAAATAGTTTTGTTTCGAAGCAAATTACAAGGGATTTATTCTGCCCCTCAGAAATCCACATGCAGCCTGTCTTGCTCATGGCAGGGTATAAGTGATTTATTCTCCCACTGAGAAATTTATTTCCCTCCAATGCGGGATGAATAGTATTTTATCAAGATCACGTAGACCAATCAAATCTCATCATTCTGACATGGAGGTAGGATAATAAACAATGTTGGGCTCATCATATTCCCAATGTGGGGTGTTATGTGTTTGCAAATTTGTGGTATTTGATGAGTGGAAATTGCATGTGGAAAGTCATAACACATAATGTTTATCAACATTGTAAGTACAAAGGTTATCAGCAATTTTCTGAATAAATCTCTCTCTACATAGCTTTGAGACAGACATGTCAATCAGAAATGCTGTGACATCATATAACATATGACTGACGTCACATGCTTCCGTGATAACTGACCCTACTTGGTCAGCAGAATGTGGAAAAAGACTAAATGGAAGTTGTTCTGATAAACATATTGATCAAAATTAATATTTTATTCATGTGGTGTACATTTCACCAAACTGATTGTAACATTTTTCAAACTAGGGATTCAGATGAAAAAATGGACTCATTTGCAAAAGATTTGCAAGGTTCATTGCCATTTAACCCTTATTCAACCAATCCAAATGCAGCACACGATCCCATTTGTGAAACTAAAAGTGTGTAGAGAGTTTAGTACTCACATTCCTTTGACCAGCCCACAATGTGAAACTAGAAGTGTTTGAGAAGTTCTGACTGTACTCACATTCCTGAGGACCTGAACTTGCTGCAGGAGATCCTCCTTGAGTTGTCTCTCCCTTGCGACCTCCACTGTCAGCTCATTTAGCCTCTGCTTTGTTTCCATTGTGATCGCCTCCTTCTCACGACGCAAGAACCATTCCTTCTCAGTCTCCAGAACCTGCCGCTCTCGTCCCACTGCATCCCGCACCTGCAGTGGATGTAGAGAAGGAACAACTCACACAAATATTCTCCAATATTCCACACAATCTGTTCTGTGGAAGAAAGAAATCACAATCACATTCTGAATCCATTTGGTCGTAAGGGACTGACCTTTCAGTAATATCAGGGCCACATCCCACAAAGCAATTGTATGGCTATGATTGTCGCAAATCTATCAAAAAGTATGGGAGTTACGATCGTCTTAACGCTAAGACCACTTTGTGGAACCATGCCCTGGATTTTTGTTAGATCAGAAACAGGATACTTTTTCAGTCACAGTTTCAACAAAAACATTTTTCTTCTCTAGATGCAGGAGCTGGACAATTTAGATTTCTTTTACAACATAATTTGTTCCGGACATTCAGCTAACAATTACTCTTTTTGTAAAATCTTGGGCCAAAAAATTTTGTGTCAGCATTTTCTGGAACAAGTTTTTTTCGTTTCTTTATCCCAAATGCAGCACCAAGCCATCCCTTTTCACACCCCCATGCCCCAGAATATCAAATGGTTGTTCTCTAAGCAGTGCGTTTCACTGTGGCATGTTTGGAGAAGAAGAAGTCATATATAACATGTAAAGCCACTCAAAGAGTGTGTTCTTCACCTGCAGAGTTATCTCCTCCTGGACCTTGAACTCCGTCTGCTGTCTCTCCTCCTCCAGCCCCTTGATGAGGTCCTGCAGTCGACACACCTCCTCATTCTTCTCCTGGAGGAACACACAGCATGACTCACTTGGAAGGAGGGCAAGTAACCTGATCCCTCAACTAAGGTCCCCCGGAATAGTGAGTGAGTCGGGTTTTACGCCGCTTTTAACAGTATTCCCGTTATATCACGGCGTGTCAGCTTAATGTGGGAGGAAGTGATGCAGGTCTCAGACGTTTACCACTTTGGTGAAACCCACGAGCACGGGTATGGTGCTGACAAACCTAGAAACATAATCGGGGAGAACCGGGATTCGAACCCACAATCATAGGTTTCTGTCGTGCCCAAGGGACACAACTCTGCACAGCGAATCATGACTGTGCCACCTGTGCCCTGGAATATGTTTACAACAGAGGATCTAAAAATTAAAGCTGATGGTTTCTTTTTGTCGGTTTATCTCAGTATTTACCTTGTTTTCTATTTATATACTAGAAAACAGTACAGTTGGTAGAATCTAGTGCATAGTTATCTTGTTGTTGACTCGTTATGCTTCAATATTTCAATATTTCTATGGGAAATGACAATCAGAAAAGAATTCTGGATATAAAATGTCATCTAGACAAATAGCCCTGAATAAAACATGACAAATAGAATAAAAGCTAAGTACAAACTGATTTGAATGTTTCTTAAGAATTAAGTCCTATCTTCAGCAGCAATGTTCAACTTACAGCCAGCAGGGTGGAGTGTTCAGCCATGAGGACCGACATCCGCTCATCCGCTCTGCTGGAAGCATCTCTCTTTTCCTGCTCCATCTCTGACCGGCACATCTCCAATGCCTGCTGCTTCTCCAGAAACATCGACTCACGCAGCTTCATAATCGCACAGTCCTACAGCACAGCAATGTAGTGAGTTTGTGTGAGTTAGCTTTTACAGTGGTATTAGCAAAGTTCCAGCATTATGCTGGTGCTGAAAGGAATTTGGCTTTACACATATCACCTATGTGGGGAATCGAACCCAGGCCATCAGAGCGAACGATTGCGCAAAGTAACCCAAACTACCCCAGAAACGTAATGAACTCTGTATGGTCTAGTTGGATAGACAGTTTGGGACAATACAATATGAATAAACTGCAGATAACTTTCATATCATCACAGTATCAACCTGCTGTCTGGTGTATAACACTGCACTGAATGTTTCAATATCACAATTCCATGAACGATAAGTGATTTTAAATTTCAAATATGCAGGAAATATTTTGTAAGATCTACTTTAATGACGGAGTGAGTGATTGTTGCTTTACTCTGCAGTAAGCAATATTCCATGGTGGCTTGCAAATAATTGAGTCGGGACCAGGCAAATCAGAACTGAAAGCTAATAACAGCAACAGCCTGGGCCATCATGAAAATGACACACAATCACCAAAGTCACAGAGGCCTGACCACCCAATCACCTTAAAGGCAGCTCTAATGGCAGGCATGAGGAACTTGGGTGGAGGTGAGTTGAAAGTGATTTAACATCATGTTCAAGATTACAGCACTTATATAGTGACATGCATGCACATGTGGCAGTGAAACTTAAAACAGGTATGGTACTAACAAACCAAGGGTCATAATCATGTCAAATTCTGGATTCAAGCCCATGACCAGTGGATCCTGGTAGCCAAGGTCCATAAAGATGAACCACTGGGCCACCGGTGCCCCTCTTTCATGGTTTAACATTTGTACAGATACATCGTATTGATCGCATGATGAACTGTGTTATCGTTTTGATTAACCAATCAGATAAATTTGGTATCACAATCCAATACATGTGCAAATGAGGTCACCAAGCAGGAAATACTATAATCTCCATACACTGATGCAATGCGAGCTTGGTCAATAAACTATTGACTAATGTGTTCAATAAGTTTACAGATGTGTGGATTTTTCGGTGGACAAACATGGCTGCAAGTCATTTGGCACTATATGAAAAATGGTGCGGTTCATTCAAACGTTGTACACATGTTTCTAAAGTTACTTCATTGAGAGCAATTTTCATCAAGTTTTTATTTCTAATATGTACACAATATGATATGGAAACACTCACCTAATAATATCTCTATTTACATATCTCATTAAAATCAGATCTTTTTACTCCGATACCATATCTCTCTGAATGAGAGAATTTATGGATGCCAATTTCTTAACTCAACGTTTCGGAGTATATGCTTTCTCCTTCATCACATGAATGAATGCTAAGATGCAGAAAGCATCTATAAATACAAGTAAGAACAACAAAAGTAATAAGATAACAAAAGGTCAAAACTTAACAAGGGAAGCCAACAGTTCATTAAGCACTGATTGGTAATAAGCAATGGACAAATGGAAGCCAACTGGATTAATTAGCCTTCATAGGGGGTTAATGAGACAGATAGATGCTGGTACAGATTATCTAAATCAATAACTCCCAGTCACAAGGTAGATATGTTTCCTGGTCATGGTTCATGTCTCTTGATGTCAAGGGCCTCCTGTAGTTTTCTTTGACATCAGTTGTTGTTGGTTGACAGGACTTTGAAAGCTTCCACATGATGGTATGGTCTTTGTGATTGATTATGTTATCTGAATTTCTGAAATGGTAGATTTCTGGTCTAGTTTGTTGACATAGGTTGGATGTTCTTTCAGTCTGGTGTTGCAGGAGAATCTGGCATGCACGCAAGATATATATACATTGGAGATCCCCTGTATCTATGGCCACCAACACATTGGAGATCCCCTGTATCTATGGCCACCAATACATTGGAGATCCCCTGTATCTATGGCCACCAATACATTGGAGATCCCCTGTAACTGTGGCCACCAATACATTGGAGATCCCCTGCATCTATGGCCACCAATACATTGGAGATCCCCTGTAACTGTGGCCACCAATACATTGGAGATCCCCTGCATCTATGGCCACCAATACATTGGAGATCCCCTGTAACTGTGGCCACCAACACATTGGAGATCCCCTGCATCTATGGCCACCAATACATTGGAGATCCCCTGCATCTATGGCCACCAATACATTGGAGATCCCCTGTAACTGTGGCCACAAATACATTGGAGATCCAGAATTCATTCACCTGATGAAGGAGTAAGCATAAACTCTGAACACTTGTATTCCTCGTAATAAAGAAGTTGTCATCCATAATTCTATCTCTTATGCGTATCACTTTTTAACATCATTCAAAGAATTGATATCTCTTTGCCTTAAAATTTGAGGATACCTCCACAGATGGTCCCATCAGGTTGACCCTGAGTGGTATTTGACCGCCCAATCTCAATGATGGATGCATGGGTGCTTAAGCCAATCAGATGTCAGCTTTCTAAAACAATTTGGCTCAATTTCTCTTCCCCAAGATTTAGAAATTTCCATTTCAACAAAAGAGAACAAATGCAGAACATATATATGTCTTTGATGGTAATCCCTTTTGGGTGTAGATGCCACTGCACTCAGAAACAACAGGGTGTATAAACCATCCACAACAATGTAAAGGCGCACCTTCATTATCTACACCAAAGGTCAATTTTAGCTCGTTTTTGAGATACAGAAATCAGATATGCTGGTCTGAATGATTCGATCACTAGTACCAAGAATTTAGAAGCCTCGACAAGAATTATCTGTTCGGAAAGTTCACCTGACTTGAGCACCTGAGATCTTCACAGAGAGAAACTGTATCTGAGGAAAAGATCTGGTTTTAATTGTCTATTTCCATGACATGTAAGCAACTGCAAGGCAACAATGCAAACAAAGATTAGAACATCCCCAAGCAAGTTGACAAGCACATATCAGAGACGGAATACAGACTTGGAGGGATATACACATGCAACAGGGACGACATTATTGTTATTTTGTTAAAGGTATTTTAAAATGTATTTTATCATTTTATTCAATGCAATAATGTAAAATTAAACACTAAGGCTTCTCCCTCTATATTGGTTTTGGTATCTGAAATACAAGGCACTTGTACAAAGCCATGACATTAGTTATAGCTATGTAAACATGATTTGGGATTTCTCTGATTACAATTTGGGAATGTTTACTGATATGAGCTGCATCACAAGCAAATGTCATCTCTAAACTGGTTTATATAACTGTACTTGTAAATTCCACACACCGCTTATTACTGATGACAAACTGAAAAAGATTTTGGATGACATATATAGAGGATATCATATGAGTGTTCATGTCATACTATGTTTACGACACGAGTGTCTAAATTCCAGTATTCCCGAGCTGACGGCAGAGGGAAATACCAGAATTTAGGCACGAGTGTACCGGGTACCTATAAGGACAGCAGTGTAACCACAATTTGTTGCACGACATCAACAATCTGCAGCTATGATGTCGTTTCTAGTGTGACGTCATTCCAACCTCACGTCACAATAAGATTTCAATGAAGTCAACGATGCCATCCGGATGACGGAAACAATACACTGTTGTCTCATGACATGTTATGACCCAAGTGCACATATGGTTTTTATGAACTGCATTATGATGATGCTATTTTCTGGCATGCCTAAGGGACAACTCTGCACAACGAATTGCAGCGCCTTAGATGACTTGGCCACACGTGCCTCCTCCACTATGAATGAAGGGCAATTTTAATACAAATTGATAACTTTGCTTACAGGCAATGGATTCGAAATGAATCTGCAGTGTTAGTAAAATAAATCATACTCCCAGGCAGAAACAGGTAAAAACACCAGGAAGGGAAACAATAGGAACTCAGAAAAAAGTATTTTAAGCAATGATATTGTATTACATGTCATGACATTACAGCAGACACATGAGCAAGGGAAAGTATATATATGTCAGTTATAAGTAGCATTGAGGAGATTATATAGGGACAATTAGAGATTCACCAAACAAAATATTTTTCATTCAAACAAGTAACTTTGACTTACTTTCCAAATATTTCCAGACTAGAAAAACAAAGCTCAGAATCACACATCTACACTGACCTAAGCCATCAGGGCATATGGTAAAAATGTTACATGCAGAGACAAGTGTAACAAAATACTGATACATATGTTAGACACATCGAAGCTTAAATATGCTGTAATACATCAAAGCCTCAATCATCTATATCAATAATGGCATAAGCAAACAGTATATATGAGAGAAAAGTTAAAAACAACTTGGCTACAAAGAGACAATACATGGAAAGAGTATTTACAGATCTGTCTGAGAAGAAATAAAGGAAGAGGATTTCTAGAGGTGAGAAACTTTTTCTGATGTCTTCCTAGAGTTAGACATAGATAATAGCTAGTTTACAATACAGACAAGCAAATTCATACAAACATTGGATAGTGATATATATTGTTACGGTCCAATTCAACAAAGCATTTTAGAGCCATGACGATCGTAAGCCTATGCTTAAGTATTGGAGTTACGATTATCTTAGCGCTAAGCTTGCTTTTTGGAATGGTCCTGGACACATCCTTAGTTTAGTGCAGCAGCTCTAGAAGAAGCAAGAGGCTCTGGTACAGGCATGTATTGTTACACTAACGTCTACACAGCAGCATCCTTGGAGTAGGAAGGGCAGACAACTCACCGTTTCTTTCCTGAGAGTCTGGAGGACTCGCTTGTGGTCATCGGCGATGGCGTCACGGGCATCCTTCTCCTTGGCCAGCTCCTGCTGCAGCTCAATCAGCTGATCTCTGTGGTGGGTCAGAGGTCAGCATCAGCAAGCAACACAACAAAGCTGGCATCGTAATTTATTTTTTGTTCATGTCATTATGATATATATTACACATTTATCCTTTGAAATTGATTTAAACATGTCCTAAACTACTATTTCTCATTCACATCAGGGGGCATATTGGTGTAGCCTTGTGGTTAAAGAGTTTACCTGTCACAGGGCCCAGGTTCAATTACCAATATGGGTACAATGTGTGAGGTTACTGCCCCAACTTGCGACTAGCATCTCTCACCTGACTCTGAGGTCGCTGTCGTCCTTCTTGTTGAGCTCATCCTACACCTGCCCCAACTTGTGACTAGCATCTCTCACCTGACTCTGAGGTCACTGTCGTCCTTCTTGTTGAGCTCATCCTGCACCTGCCCCAACTTGTGACTAGCATCACTCACCTGACTCTGAGGTCGCTGTCGTCCTTCTTGTTGAGCTCATCCTGCACCTGCCCCAACTTGTGACTAGCATCTCTCACCTGACTCTGAGGTCGCTGTCGTCCTTCTTGTTGAGCTCATCCTGCACCTGCCCCAACTTGTGACTAGCATCTCTCACCTGACTCTGAGGTCGCTGTCGTCCTTCTTGTTGAGCTCATCCTGCACCTGCCCCAACTTGTGACTAGCATCTCTCACCTGACTCTGAGGTCGCTGTCGTCCTTCTTGTTGAGCTCATCCTGCATCTGCCCCAACTTGTGACTAGCATCTCTCACCTGACTCTGAGGTCGCTGTCGTCCTTCTTGTTGAGCTCATCCTGCACCTGCCCCAACTTGTGGTTGAGCTCCAGCACCTCCTGCTGCAGCACCTTCTTCTCCTGCTCTGCCATACGCTTGTTCTCCCGACTCTCGCGCTTGTACCGCGTCTTCATCTCCTCCTGTTCACGACTCTTCTCCTGCAGACATATCACCACACACATCAGTACATAGGAGTACATGCTATCTCTTCTTAGAACATTTCTCATATACTTGGGATTTACTTGAGTCCTATTTTTGAGTCCTTGGGATTCTCAGTATTAGCTCCAAGGCATGAACATGGGGATCCGAGGTTGGTGACATGTGGCATGTTTCATGAAAATCCAATAATTTTACTGATGGCATATCACTGCACACACTCAGGAACCTAAGCCTGTTATAGTTTCGGATTTCAATGTTAGATTGACGAAAATTGACAACTGACACCCACAACATTGAGTGTATTTTCTAACCAGAAACAAAATGTCAGTTGTATGTTATGCAATCTACAATTCTGATAAATATAAAGTTTCTATAAAGTTTCAAACAGCCATACATTTTTGCTTTGTACAGGACCCATAATTAAAATTTGTTGCATCCATTTTCAATTCAACCTTGCATTTACACTAGGACTTTAGAAATATACCCCTTTTGGACTTAGCTGCCTCCATCACTTATCATTCATTGCTAGACATCTTACTGTTGTTGGGTGGTGGATTAGTCCAGTTCCTAAAGGCTTCAGTCATCATACTGAAGGTCTAGGTTTGATTCCCCACATATTCATGGTGTCCTATGCTGTGATAATGCTGGAATATTTACTAAACACTGCGTAAAACAACACTCATCACTTTCTGTTTTTTATTGTCTCAAATTACTTACCTGTATAATTTCATCCTTGCATTTTTCCATTGTTCTGTAGGCAGCCTCCAGAGACATCAGTTTGTTATGGACATCGTCCTGGCTCCCCTGGGTCTCCTCCATCCTGCCCATCAGTGTCTCCACCTCCTGCAGCACAAACATCACATACAGGGGCTGCCCACACCAACAATGTACATGGTGACTACTCAATTGGTTTATTCATGTATGGGAGGCCATAGGCCCATGTACATTTCAGTTATATATAGTGACACACAATTGAGGCAATTTACATTGAAAAGAAAACTAAGGGTATAATATCAACAGGCACAGCATACGTCTATGGTCTCTGTTTCTGAAAGCTGTAACAAAATATTCTATATATCAAAAAATATCTTACCGTGTTAATAATACCTTAATTTACAAGAATCATAAATTTTCATCTTTCATCTCTGTTTGTTACAATCCAACAAATGCTGTCTAAAAAGCTGCAAGAAACAATTAACATCACCAACATTCTGCTCGTGCCACACATAACCAAATCCATAAATGTCGAGTAAATATTTAACATGAGTTGCCCATGTCATTCCACGGTGACTAAACGTGACATTAAACCAGATTTCAACTCAAGATATGTATCAATTAAAGGGGAGATAACTCACATCCTGCAGCTCTTCCTTCTGCATCCGACTCTGCTTCTGCTCATTGAACAGCTCGTCCTTGGTCTGTTCCAGCTGCCGGACCAGCTCGTCCCGCTCCAACTGCATGCCCTCCGAACTCCGCACCTTCACACGCAGGTCCGAGTTCACTTCCTGTACTGCCCGGAGCTACAGCACATACGTAAATGTCAGCAGGTCAGGTGATAAATTTTGTTTACCGGTAGTTGGTTTACAGAATATTGTTTTATTCTTACAATGTCAGTGATAAAAAAGAAAAATGTACACCTTTGAATTAACATATCAGTGGTGGAAATAAAATTTTAACAAAAATCTCAATTAACCTTTTGAATTTCCTGAATTACCATAGGATTTACAGTAAACTACGGTTATAACGAACTCAGAGGGACCACTAATTTAAGTTTGTTATAACCATAGTTTATAATAAGCATATATACAGCGTGTTCGTTATAAACGTTGTTTACTGTACATCTCATTATTTTGTGAAAGGGGTCAAGGCTAGTTATGTGTGATGAAGAACTGTGTGTAATGATTCACCAAATGTTTTGGTGCATCATGATACTCTGAGCCATCATATTTTGTATCGGATGGTCTTGTATCGATACAAAAACTTTAAAAGTATATGTTAGGATGAAATGGAAAAAGGTAAGAACATACATTGAAAATACTATTTTCTTCTTGTATGTTCAATAGATATCAACCTATTGTTTTACAATTTGACTCAAATCTACTAAATATCTTTCATTTAGGCTACTGTTAGTTTTTGTTCATAGCAGAAATATTTCCTCAGGTCAAGTGTAAGTCATGTAACATATTGTGTATCATATCATAACCATATTACTGAGCTGTGCATATGACTGCAACAAAGTGTAATGTAACAACCCTAATGAAGGAGAACCCACTGTATTCCGAGGCCCAAAAGAATTAAAAAAATTGCAGTCAATTTTTGTACATTCTGCAACCAAATGTTGATAATTTTGCAACTCCAAAAGCAGATTTGCCTGCTGTGACCTTGAAAATGGGGTCAAGGTCACCAAAACCGACTGGTGTCTGCGGAATTTGTATATACACCATAGTTCCATATATGAAGATAATCCAGTGTTTAGTTCTTGAGATATCGCTGCAACACCGTTTTCCAACTCCAAAAGCAGATTTGCCTGCTGTGACCTTGAAAATGGGATCAAGGTCACCAAAACCGACTGGTGTCTGCGGTGTCTGTATATACACCATAGTTCCAAATATGAAGATAATCCAGAGTTTAGTTCTTGAGATATCGCGGCAATACCATTTTCCAACTCCAAAAGCAGATTTGCCTGCTGTGACCTTGAAAATGGGATCAAGGTCACCAAAACCGACTGGTGTCTGCGGAGTCTGTATATACACCATAGTTCCAAATATGAAGACAATCCACAGTTTAGTTCTTGAGATATCGCTGCAACACCGTTTTCCAACTCCAAAAGCAGATTTGCCTGCTGTGACCTTGAAAATGTGGTCAAGGTCACCAAAACCGACTGGTGTCTGCGGAGTCTGTATATACACCATAGTTCCAAATATGAAGACAATCCAGCGATTAGTTCTTGAGATATCGCGGCAACACCGTTTTCCAACTCCAAAAGCAGATTTGCCTGCTGTGACCTTGAAAATGGGGTCAAGGTCACCAAAACCGACTGGTGTCTGCGGAATTTGTATATACACCATAGTTCCAAATACAAAGATAATCCAGTGTTTAGTTCTTGAGATATCGCGGCAACAAACAGGTGGGACGTACGGATGTACGTACGGACAGTCGTGAATACTATATCCCCCGCTTCGCGCTTTCGCGCGGCGGGGGACAATAACTCATAGAAGTGACCCTGGAGATCACTTGTGCAAACATACAGACATGCACTTTGGTAACCAATCATACAAAAGTCATAAATATCCATTTACATTTTTAAAACCAGTTTTTGACGCACATGTTAAAATTCTGCGGTGTATTTAATGAGTTATGTCGCAAAATTCTGCACGTGTTCTGTGGCAGATAAATGCAAAATTCTGCACATGTTCTGCACAAAATGTGATTTTCTGCAAGATACATACATTTCTGCACCGATTGGGCATTTCTGCAATATATTCTGCAACCACGGAATCGTCTACCTACCTCTTCCTTGACTGATGCTATAGACTGGATGTCCCGCACCTCGCCCTGCTTCACCTTGATCTGACTCTCGAAGTTCCTGGCTTCGTTCTTCTTCCTCTCCATGTCCTCCATGACCCGCTCCAGGTCCTTCATGGCCGTCGTGCGCTTGAACTCCGTCAGCATCAGCTGGGTTCTGTCAGCAGACATAAGGGACCCACCATATAATGTCTTTGAATGGCATTTAGAAGTGATAAGTAGAGGAAGCAGGTACTCCGAAATGTTGTGATCCTCATAATAAAGAAGTTGACATCCATATATTCTCTCTCTCTCACCATATAATATTCTTTGGAGCCTGGGTTTTGTTTGTAATATAATATAATATATGATATATGATATATGATATGATATGATATGATATGATATGATATGATATGATATGATATGATATGACATGACATGACATGATAGATATGATATGATATGATATGATATGATATGATATGATATGATATGATATGATATATGATATGATATGATATGATATGATATGATATGATAGAGATATGATAGAGATATGATATAACAGTAGTCAGTGCTTCAAAACATACACTTTACATGAAAGAGCAGAAAATAATTTTGATCCACAACTCATTACTTTTCAGAACATCCAGGACTTTTTTGTTTTCATCCATTTTCAGGAACAGAAAGAAAAACCAAATCCCCGAATTTCAAATGATCAGCAATGGGTTAGAGTCAATCCTCAGTAGCATATGCTTAAAATGGTTCAGGTGGTCCATTTCAGTGAGTCAACTGATTGCATGTCATTGATGCCATGGGGTATTGCTCATATCAACCAATAATGCCATGGGGTATTGCTCACATTAACCAATGATGCCATGGGGTATTGCTCATATCAACCAATAATGCCATGGGGTATTGCTCACATCAACCAATGATGCCATGGGATATTGCTCATATCAACCAATGATGCCATGGGGTATTGCTCACATCAACCAATGATGCCATTGGTTATTGCTCACATCAACCAATGATGCCATGGGATATTGCTCATATCAACCAATGATGCCATGGGGTATTGCTCACATCAACCAATGATGCCATGGGATATTGCTCATATCAACCAATGATGCCATGGGGTATTGCTCATATCAACCAATGATGCCATGGGATATTGCTCATATCAACCAATGATGCCATGGGGTATTGCTCATATCAACCAATGATGCCATGGGATATTGCTCATATCAACCAATGATGCCATGGGATATTGCTCATATCAACCAATGATGCCATGGGATATTGCTCATATCAACCAATGATGCCATGGGGTATTGCTCACATCAACCAATGATGCCATGGGATATTGCTCATATCAACCAATGATGCCATGGGGTATTGCTCATATCAACCAATGATGCCATTGGTTATTGCTCATATCAACCAATGATGCCATGGGATATTGCTCATATCAACCAATGATGCCATTGGTTATTGCTCATATCAACCAATGATGCCATGGGATATTGCTCATATCAACCAATGATGCCATGGGGTATTGCTCACATCAACCAATGATGCCATGGGATATTGCTCATATCAACCAATGATGCCATGGGGTATTGCTCACATCAACCAATGATGCCATGGGATATTGCTCATATCAACCAATGATGCCATGGGATATTGCTCATATCAACCAATGATGCCATTGGTTATTGCTCATATCAACCAATGATGCCATGGGATATTGCTCATATCAACCAATAATTTGTCTGACATTTGCAGTCATATTCACAGGCCACCATTTGTGTTAATGTGATGACTGAAAGAGGGGTTGTGATGTTTGTAAGAAAGAGAAAGGTTGTGATGATTTTATAAGGGGTTGTGATGATTGTTCAAAAGGTTGTGATGACAGAAAGGGGGGGGGGGGGGGGGTGTGGAGACTGAAGAAGGGTTGTGATTATTAAAGTGGGGTTGTGATGATTGAAAGGGGGACCCGGGTTGTGATGATTGTAAGGAGGTTGTGATGATTGTATGAGGGGTTGTATGCTTTGCCACATTTCCATCTCACAGCCTCTCACCGGGCATCCTCAGACTTCTCTCGCGTGCCTTTGAGCGATGTCTCCGCCTCCCTCAGCTCCAGCCGAGATGCATGGAGTGCCTGGCGGAGTGTCTTAATCTCCTGTGTCAGCACCTGAAGAAACACTATAAGTTAGCATGACACTTTAACAACATCATCAACTTTGGACATCATCAACCGGAAGCAACATCTGGAACTCTCTTTGCACTCTGCAAAATGACACAGGTCTATTTTTTTCAAACATAAAAATCATAAATATTAACATTATATAGGGGCTGGTCCATTGGTCTTTCTCACTCACACCCCACCCCATAAATGACCAGCCCCTCACTCTTATATGGATGGGTGGATATCATGAAACACTGAAGTTGGAGACTTGACTCAAATGTGGTAGGACTGCCATTCTCCTTGAGGCTAGTCCCCCTTTAAACTTCCTATATGATTACACTTAGACTTTTAACACCAGAGATGGCTCAGTGTTACCAACTAATCCACTGACAGGTGTACTACACACCAACAACCATAAACCTAGGTATCCTAGCTTTCGGAGAAAGCATTAGAATTCCTTAAATCTCATCACTGTAGATACACTCTGAGGAGCTTTCAAGTTCAGGGGGATCAAGTGTCATGAATTAACAATTATTGATAGATCATTTGTGTAATATTTAAAAACAAACTATGTTTGGATTACAGGGTAGGCCATGAAAAATGTACACATGTTTGGGTGTTGCAAAAGTTTATGTAGACGCCATACATCTCTCTACACCAGCCCATCCTTCCATGTATGACGAGTTTCCTTCAAAATAACTTCAATTTTCAATAAGATTCTCAATATCTTTCATAACCATAAACATTAGGACATCTTATCAGTTATGAAAAAGGATTTTGTCATAATATCTATTTGTACTCATTATCATCATTGGAAAAAAATAAAAATATTTTCATCTATTTCTATGAAGAGCAATCTACATTGTTACAAAACATCGGCAAGTCTCGCTACTTATATTCCACATATGAAATCTGCATTAGAAAAATCAATGTTCAGAAGAGAGAAATTAATATTGTAATAAAAGAGTCCATAGATTCTATGTTAGTCTACTGAACAATGACTGACTGAATTTGCCTTGCATTTGGCCTCCAGTTCTTTGGTCCATGAGCTGCAACTAGCCAACTAATATAACTAAGTACTCTCTATGACACGCACTGCAGAGACAGCAGGACACACTTACAGATGCGTGGGACTGTTTCTGTAATGAACACCACAATGTCAAATCTCAACAACGATGCGAGACACGACTTGAAATGTTTGAAACACTTGGCAGAAACTTGGGTTCAGCATGTTGGGATGATGTTGCTCATAGAACCATTGCCTTTTCATGAGTGAGTGAGTGAGTTGTGTTTAACGCCGCTTTTAACAGTATTCCAGTCATATCACGGCCTGTCAGCTTAATGTGGGAGGAAAGCCCCAAGAGATGCAGGTCTTAGACATTTACCACTTGGGTGAAACCCATGAGCACGGGTATGGTACTGACAAACCCTTTTCATGAAGGGCATATTGACCATACCACAGAACAATATGCAGCTTAATGATGTCTTGCAATGCACATTTTGCCTTTTAAATGATCAACTGGACATGCCTCCAACCAAATGAAGTTTGTACAAAAATTGATGCCACAAATTTGATCTCCCAAATACTTCTAAGTTTACCTCTCTCTCCTCTTCCTCAGCTTGTGTCTGCCTCTTCCCTGCTCCATCCCGGCTCGTGGTGTACACCTGGAACAGTCAATGATGCGGAGGTTCATGTGTTTTATGTCATTATGTACTTCTGTTGGGTCTCCAGGTTAGAACAGCTCCCCAGCAACCTATGCTGGTCAGATGAGGTGACCGATTGGAGGTCTGGCTCGGTGACTTAGTTGATTGCGTGTCATCACACCAAAATGGTGTGGAACGTTCCTCACAATGTCAATGACTGGAGGCGACAAATGGGACTGGGTGGTCAGGCTCGCTGACTTGGTTGATGCATGTCATCGTATCCCCATTGCGTTGACTGATGCTCATGATGTCAATTACTGGATTGTCTGGTCCAGACTCGATTATTTACAGGTTGCTGTCATATAGATGAAATATTGCTGAGCGTGACGTTAAACAACAAGGCTTTCAGGGAAGAGATGGTTTGTTTGTTTGTTGTTTAATACCTCAATCAGCAATATTCCAGTTTTATGATGACAGCTAGTAAATAATTGAGCCTGGAGCAGACAATCCTGTGACTGATACTACAATCAACCGAGTCACTGAGCTCAACCACTCGATCCACCAAATTGCTTTGATGACCAGCATAGGATGCTGGGGACCAATTCAGTGTCAGATGGTGGTGGTAATAATAACACAACATGCAGGTTTTGGTGGTCAAAGAAGCATTTTGAGAGTCATGGACAAGAGTCATCATTCATCACGAGATGACACATCCTCCCGGGTTCTGGTGCAATTCGGAATTGGAAATTGGCTACTTATACCCCACTTTTGGTTCATGGCCATTGAATACCTTCAGTTCAGTGAAGAAAGGAACAATGTTGTTCAGTATTTTTCAAAATCCCAAATCATCAAAAGGCACCAGTTCACCACTAGACTGATCTGTACAGCAAGTTTCAACCAGATCATATTCAACAGTTATGGAGCTCTGCTCCGGAAACGAGCACTACCCTCATTTTCAGTAAAATTCAACTTGTTGTCATGAAAACATAAAAAAGACACCAGTTTCCCACTAGACTGATCTGTATAGCAACCATCATCTAGATATATTCAATGGCTTTGGAGTTCTGCTTCCTCTCACAAAAAAACACCCAAACCATTTCAGACTGAGTCCAATTTGTCTGCATGGAAAGTATTCCTAAAAATTCAAAATAAAGGCACCACTTTAGGACACAATTGATAAACCTGGCATGTTTTGTTAAAAAGAATATATTTCATGATTTTCGAGCTCTGCTATGAGAACGACATCCACCCCATCTTGTGACCAAATCCAATTGTTTTCATGGAAATGGAGCAAAAGAAATGTCCCAAATCCTTCAATTGCAAAAGGCACCACCAAGTTTTGTTGAAAGATATTGAACGTTTTTCAAGTTGTGCTCTGGATACGAAATGGTTACAGAGGGACGGACATACAGATGAGGTTTCAACTATATCCCACCGCATTATATGCTGGGGGATAGTAAAAAGGACTGGAGTTCTACACCAGAAATGGAAAACGGATGATCGCTACATCCCCTCGTTTTTTCAAACCGATGGGGTCACACAAGAGCAACAGTTATTCAATTATTGAGAATACTTGTGCTATTTTCATGATTACAAACTAAACTAAGACACATTCACATCTTTCCGTGGGTCACAAAACAGGAACATGTTGTGGCACAATGTGTTTTCTTACCATTGTCATGCAGAACAAATCACGTAACATACACAAAAGTGTTATATTTGTTGAATTTCCAACTGAAGCAGAAGAGTGCAAGGAAACAGTGTTTTCATTGCCATACATACACAGGCAACAGCCATTAACATGATCAGACCTGAACTATCAATACTTACCTTCCTCATAGTCTCAGGTGAACTCACTCCTATAGGGCCAGCTCGGACTGGAGAGGTGCTGGAACTTCGGAGATGGTTGGTTGGGGAGACTGAGTGCGATCTCCTCTCTCGTTCCATCTCTTGCCGTATTCTCGCCGTCTCTCGCTCGATCTCACGACAAGTCTCATCCACACTGTCCTCCTCGTACACGCTCACAATTCTCTTCTCAGGCCTGAACAAGACAAGAATTCATTTTCATCCATCATTTAATGTTTGACTCAATGACAGGCACACTTATCAACACCTATGTCAACTCCTGGAGTGAGGTCACTGACGACGCTATTGTTTGTTCATTCCTTGCTCTATTGTTGACACCAACGAAGGTATAAACACGTCTTCTCCTAATAACCAGGGAATAAGTGCTTGTTGATATAAAGCTGATAACTTCCGATCTGATATTGGTGGATGTTAATAGAAAATCGATTCTTGTCAATAGTGTATGGATCACAAAATATAAAAGGTATGAACACTGACATTGAACAACCTCCCATATACAGATATCTTGGAGATAGTGACTTTCATTGCTTTTATAAGGGTTTCTATGACTTGAGCAGTTGCAGTCCTCATGTCAAACTCATTGGTTAAACTTGTTATTCCAAAAATTTTGTGTATACACCAAAATAATAAAATATTTGTATGTCCTTTATCACCACACATAGCAATGTTCCAGCCATATGACTGCAGTATGTAAATAATCAAGTCTGGACCAGACAATCCAGAGATGTATACTAAAAATTGCTACTACAAAATGTTGAAATTGATAAACTAAATGAATTGGTAAAGAAGTGTGATGCATTGCTTCAAAGAAACTGAAATTCATTTCACTGTAAATAAGGCTACATAAAAACAAAAAATGTTTCTTGAACTGACAGTTCCAGTGTGATAATACTATAAATCACTCTACAGTTCATCCCAACTGCACAGTTCCAGTGTGATAATACTATAAATCACTCTACAGTTCATCCCAACTGCACAGTTCCAGTGTGATAATACTATAAATCACTCTACAGTTCATCCCAACTGCATAGTTCCAGTGTGATAATACTATAAATCACTCTACAGTTCATCCCAACTGCACAGTTCCAGTGTGATAATACTATAAATCACTCTACAGTTCATCCCAACTGCATAGTTCCAGTGTGATAATACTATAAATCACTCTACAGTTCATCCCAACTGCACAGTTCCAGTGTGATAATACTATAAATCACTCTACAGTTCATCCCAACTGCATAGTTCCAGTGTGATAATACTATAAATCACTCTATAGTTCATCCCAACTGCATAGTCACAATGAAACAAATGCCTACAGGCATATTGTTTCAGCACCTGTTCAAGTTGGAAGTATCACAATGATGGAATCAGCCGATCATGTGACACTTATCACACTGCATCTCGAGTATATACAATGAGTGAGTGAGTTTGATTTTACCCGGCTTTTAGTACTATTCCAGCAATATCACAGCAGGGGACACCACAAATGGGCTTCACACATTGTACCCATGTGGGACAGCGAACAAACGAGCAAACACTTTAACTACTAGACTACCCCACCGCCCCTCGGAGTACATATATATACAATGCAAGGTAATGATTGAGATTGTTCATCGAGCAAGATACTCCATCTTCTATGTCAGCTGTCCGTCTTATTCTTTAAGTGTATTACCACAAAATATTGCCTGATTCTTTCATATTACTACAGCAAACCTGTCATTCTAAGAAAGAATTGAGTGGTCCTTAACTTCTTTTGGGATGTCTATATTCCAAGCAAGGAATCTGCATATGTATTCTCCAAGAATAACTAGCAAAATTTAGAATACATTTTTTTTCAGTTATATTGCCCTAGTTTTTTATCCACCCACACTCTACACAAGCACTTGTTTAAATCAGACTGCCTCCGTGGTTTAGTGGTAGAGTGTCTGCCTGAAGAGCATAAGGTCGGGGGATTCGATCCCCAGCCAGGTCATACCAAAAGACGTTAATAGATGGTAGTTGTTGTTATCCTGTCTGGCGCTCGGCAATAGGGGGTTAAAACAAGGACTGGTGTACTGGAGTCAGTGTACTGTGTCTGAGTGTTCGTGTTAAACTGCAGCATGGTATCTCAGTGGGCCAACACTATAAAATTGGCCTTAGTCCAGACGAGTACAAGCAGCCATACACACACACTCATGCAGATACACATTTGTGTGCACATCGCCATATAAATGCAATAAACTTGGAAGCAACATTAAACCCCATTTCACTTCACCTCCCCTTGTTTAAACCATAAGTAAGTCTTATTCATTAAGTACTACACTAAACATAGTGAGATAGTAACTATTTTGCATGTCACACAGACAATAACTAAAACTAATTTCCTGAGGTATTCTTAATCATAGGAATTAAAACAAGTTTGTCTTATCGCTATAACTCCTATCCTGAAGGGGCTGTAGGGTAGCCTAGTGGTTAAAACATTCACTTGTCATGCCAAAGACAGATGTTCGACTCAACATGGGCACAATGTGTGAAGCCCATTTCTGGTGTCCCCTGCCATGATATTGCTGGAATATTGTTAAAAGCGGCGTCAAACCATACTCACTCCTACCATAAATATTTGTTAACCCCATCTAATTAATAATTTTCCTGACAAAAATGTCAAAATGATAAGCTCTCACCTCCTACTCCTGCCCAAAACAACATTCTGCAAACATCTGTAGTAACATGCTGAAGAATTTTCTGACATGAAATGTACATGATATCTACACCAGTTTTCCAGGTGAGCAGTCACTGATAAAGAGGTAAAAAGTCAATCAAAGTCTCGTCAATCTCATCATAGAGGGGCACATACACATGTCAAGGGTGCTGTTTACAATGTGGTCACTCACTGGCACAGGCCACCTCCCATGTAAGGCCATGCTATTCACAATGTCGATAACCATAGGCAATAATCCCCCATCTATTCACCTTATCTATTGATATACACACTATCTTATAAACCATACTGGTGGTAACGAGCCTTAGACCATGCCCATGGTGCTTAGGATCTGGCTATTCTCATGGTAATCTGCCTTTGTCATAGGACAACAAAGAGTGAAACCTATATATCTATTAAGAAAATTGACATTGATGGCATTTGATCAACAACAATGTCTCTACATGATAATGGTCGGTTTATGCAGGCAATTCTTTATGTTCTGAAACCAATCAACTTTCATGCATTAGTGATTCCTGCTCTTGGGATGGTCAAGGTATAAGTTTATTACATGAAAGACTTTGATCCATGGTAGGACTCTGATCTGTAGTTGGACTCCGATGTGCAGTTGGACTCAGATATGTAGTAGGACTCTGATCCATGGTAGAACTCTGATCTGTAGTAGGACTCTGATCAGCAGTAGGACTCCGATGTGCAGTTGGACTCAGATATGTAGTAGGACTCTGATCCATGGTAGAACTCTGATCTGTAGTAGGATTCCGATCTGTAGGACTCTGATCTGTAGTAGGACTGATCCATGGTAGGTCTCCCATCAGCAGTAGGACTTCGATCCGTGGTAGGACTCCAATCTGTGGTAGGACTCCGATCTGTGGTAGGATCGGTGGTAGGACTTCGATCTGTGGTAGGATCTATGGTAGGACTCTGATCTGTGGTAGGACTGATCCATGGTAAGACTCCGATCTGTGGTAGGATCTGTGGTAGGACTCCGATCTGTGGTAGGACTGATCCATGGTAGGACTCCAATCTGTGGTAGGACTCCAATCTGTGGTAGGACTTCGATCTGTGGTAGGATCTGTGGTAGGACTCCGATCTGTGGTAGGACTTCGATCTGTAGTAGGATCTGTGGTAGGACTCCGATCTGTGGTAGGACTGATCCATGGTAGGTTTCTGATCTGTGGTAGGACTGATCCATGGTAGGATTCTGATCTGTGGTAGGACTGATCCATGGTAAGACTCCGATCTGTGGTAGGATCTGTGGTAGGACTCCGATCTGTGGTAGGATTCTGATTTATGGTAGGATTCTGATTTGTGGTAGGATTCTGATCTGTGGTAGGACTCCGATCTGTGGTAGGACTCCGATCTGTGGTAGGATCTGTGGTAGGACTCCGATCTGTGGTAGGACTGATCCATGGTAGAACTCTGATCTGTAGTAGGATTCCGATCTGTAGTAGGATTCCGATCTGTAGGACTCTGATCTGTAGTAGGACTGATCCATGGTAGGTCTCCCATCAGCAGTAGGACTTCGATCCGTGGTAGGACTCCAATCTGTGGTAGGACTCCGATCTGTGGTAGGATTCTGATCTGTGGTAGGACTCCGATCTGTGGTAGGATTCCGATCTGTGGTAGGACTCCGATATGTGGTAGGACTCTGATCTGTGGTAGGATTCTGATCTGTGGTAGGACTCTGATCTGTGGTAGGACTCCGATCTGTGGTAGGACTCCGATCCATGGTAGGACTCTGATCTGTGGTAGGATCTGTGGTAGGACTCCGATCTGTGGTAGGACTGATCCATGGTAGGACTCCGATCTGTGGTAGGACTCCGATCTGTGGTAGGACTCCGATCCATGGTAGGACTCCGATCTGTGGTAGGATCTGTGGTAGGACTCCGATCTGTGGTAGGACTGATCCATGGTAGGACTCCGATCTGTGGTAGGACTCCGATCTGTGGTAGGACTCCAATCTGTGGTAGGATTCCGATCTGTGGTAGGACTCCGATCTGTGGTAGGATTCCGATCTGTGGTAGGACTCCAATCTGTGGTAGGACTCTGATCTGTGGTAGGATTCTGATCTGTGGTAGGACTCCAATCTGTGGTAGGATTCTGTTCTGTGGTAGGACTGATCCATGGTAAGACTCCGATCTGTGGTAGGACTCCGATCTGTGGTAGGATCTGTTGTAGGACTCTGATCTGTTGTAGGACTCTGATCTGTGGTAGGACTCCGATCCGTGGTAGGACTCTGATCTGTGGTAGGACTCCGATCCATGGTAGGACTCCGATCTGTGGTAGGACTCCGATCTGTGGTAGGATCTGTGGTAGGACTCCGATCTGTGGTAGGACTGATCCATGGTAGGACTCCGATCTGTGGTAGGACTCCAATCTGTGGTAGGATTCTGATCTGTGGTAGGACTCCGATCTGTGGTAGGACTCCGATCCATGGTAGGACTCCGATCGTTGGTAGGATCTGTGGTAGGACTCCCATC